CATAAAAAAAAAAAAAAAAAAAAAAAAAAAAAAACTAGCACCTCACTCTCTATTTCTTTATGTCGTTTTCCTGAATCCGGACCTACATGGATCTTTATCTCTTGAGCGACATCTTCCATGCAGCAATCTAGTAAAGCTCCTTTTGTTGGGTCTCATATTGGACTAATTTCTACTTCCTTGCTCTGATTGAAGTCACCCTCATATATTTCTCCTGTTATTTCCTTTCGAGCATCCTCTTGGGAGGGCAAACTCACAAAATATTCACTAACTTGCAAGCTTGTAACCAGTAAACAGTTTGGAAGCAGCAAACTTCCAGTTTCAGTGACCATCCTGAATTTGTGGTATTGACATTTTCACCACCTTCTTCAGAGAAAACATGTTAGATGATGTTTTTATTAGAATCATGCTTTTCTGCTTATGCATGTATCGTAGGTGTCTCGAACATATGTCCATGGCTGGATCTGTAGGCTGAAGAAAACGTTTCACAACTGGAATAATTCAGCAAATCTGAATCCAAAAATCCATGGTAACTGAAGAATCAGCTGACTATTTTGATATGATTAAAAAACATCACAGATTTACCAGCGTGTCTAAAACTAGTCGTCCTTGAATTTAAAGATAACAGGTCACAAGACTGACTAGTCAGTCTTGTGGTGATGATGTGTAGTGGTTGTCGAGTATTAGAAGGTTCATTTTCAATTAAAATTAGTTTCTATCCCTCTTTCAAGATTTCTAATGCTGGATCCTCTAGTTTTCTACTATTTGCAAATGGATTAATATCTGATATTCTTTTTAGTATATTATTTTAGGAAGTTGTAATGTTCTTGCCTCAAGTTGCTTAATTCATTTATATTACAGTTCTGTTCTTTAGATGGGAAAGGAAATACTATATTTGTTAAATACTAGGCATTTATGATATTACTGGATTTCTAACAAAGTTCAATCATGCTGCTTCTTCCCTTTCAGTTGAAGAGATTAGAGCTTAAGCTGAAGCAGTTTGCAGAAATTGAGACCTTACTGATGAGAGAATGCGATCAGATGGAAAGAATGCGGCAGAGGTTGGCTGCAGAACGGGGCCTCATGATGTCAGCACAGTTTGGATCTGCTGGAGGATCTCGAGCAATGGGCCCTCCTGTTGGTTCAGCCATTATAAATGATAATTCAGGAAATAGGCAGCAAATTATTTCAGGCTCCCAACCCTTTGTTTCCGGGTTTGGCAATAACCAACCAGTGAATCCCCATACATCGCTTACGCAACAAGGAATGTATGATCTTGGGCCCCGGCTGCCACTTTCAGCTATACGCCCGTCTTCTTCAACCCCGAGTGCACTGTTTAATCCTGGAAATTCCCAGCCGTCTCTCAGTCATCCGATGCTTAGACCTGTATCCAGGACTAAAACTGGGTTAGGTTAAAATGAAAGCTAGTGGTTCATCGGGATATTCTTGGATTAATTTGATGTCCATTCTCTTGCTTTCTGCACTAAAAAGAGGTGAAGAGAGGGATTCATAAAAATAGATTGGAGTTGCTGAGGCTGGGCTGTATGAGCTTGGAAGCAAGGCCTGGGTCCGACTCAGTGTGGTTGGTTAAGCCGATTGTTTGCTGGTGAAGCCATGTTTTTGTTATAAACTTGAATTTCATTCAGGAATTTCTCCAGTAGAATCTAGGAATCTACCGTACTCTTGAACTGTACAGATGGTAACAATGTTAAAGAAAACAGCAATGTGCTTTTTATTAAATCTGAGATCTTTACTCTCCATATGGGGAAGTGCTACAGGAATTCATTGGATCAATAAGAATGCTAAAATTTTGCTTTAATCCTGTTACTAATGAACTGTGACATGATATTGAAGTTCGGTAAAGATGCAGCATCCATTTGAAGTTTAGCACCCTAGGCAATACTTGACCTAGGAAAGACCTAGTCGTGTAAAGCGAGTTGGGCCGTCAAAATTAGCATGGATCAAGTTTAATTTCATTAAGAGCCCAATGAGTCTAGATGGGCTGATCTAGAACTTCACTAGAGACGAAAAAAGAGATCTATTTATAAACACAAGCCAAATATAACAAATCTAACTCCAAACGCAACAATGAGACAAAAAAATTTGCTTGCATCATTTATGTGTTTTTGGATAATCAACACCAGATGCCTTGGATCAACAAGAATTTGCAATCATGTTGGCTAAGAAAACAAAGGCTGCTTAAAAACAAATAATAAAATCAAGCGAAGAATACAAATTTCACTAGTTGGAACTTCCAAATTTAGTGTAAAGATCCATAACATACTATAAAAATGAATACGGAATACCCAATATCTAAGGTAAGAAAGTATTTAATAACTACTTGAGCATCCAACACTTTCAAACCTCACTTTTTCTTTTGCTTCTTCGGTTTTCTTTTGTCAGAATGCTCCAAGGACCCTATCGAGGTAACTGCACTGTTTCCTCTTGCCGAATCTTGGGTGGACTGACCAGTGGACTTTCTTGGTTCATCAACATGTCTTCTCTTTGTAGGCTTCAAAAACTCCCCAGGACCAGACACGGAACTCTTGATTTTGCTACTTGGTGCAGAGGAACGATATCCACTCATAGTTTGAGAGTTTTTTTGCTGTGAACTTCGAGTAGTTACAAAGTGACGACCTGACATTGCTGAGGTGGCTGCGGAAGACCTCTGAGACATCTCTTTCAAGTTGATGCTATTGTGTTCACTAGGTTCCGGGTAATGGACAAGAGATACACGCCTTGAGATCTTCCCAGCTGAAATATAATGCATCAAGGGAAAACTGAACTCAACATTAAGGAGAACTTTATAAATAAGGATCAAATGCAAAACTGTAAATGTAAAGGAAAGAACTCAGTAACTGCCGCCTACTCCTACCCTAGGGAACAACAAATGACAGAATTGTGTCAGGTCTACACTTTCGAGTCCAAATTCCATTCTCTCTTGTAAAAAAATTCTTTAGAAGTTAGAAAGCATTGAACGGCAAATTTGCGTTGGATGTTGCACAAAAGGTTCAGGGTACCAGACAATCGTGTTCATTCATGTCATTATCAGATATTGAATCAAATAGGTTACCAGTTCAGAAATCATGTCATTTACTTAGCCCATAAAATAAAAGACA